TAATATCTGTGTTGGAGTGACGTGTTGATTTCATTCCAGCTGGGCAGATCATCATTGGCTGCTCCCATCACATCACACACCAGCTCAGCTGCAAAAGAACATGAAAATTAGAAATTCCAAATCCCACTCTGCTCCTGTGAGGTTATCCAGTTGCTGTATTTGTGAAGCAATTCATTCCCTCGTTTTGCGTATTGGTGTTTAGCTTTATCAACAAAATGTATATATATATATATATATATTTATTTGATAGATGAATGAATTCCGAATGGTCAATAAGACAGAAGGGAGATGGTTTTAAAAAATAAAGCTGGAATGCAGACTGGACAGAGCAGTGCAGTGGTCGGACTCTGTCTATACGTGTTTGATCCGCCCTACGCTTCTACAGATACACATCTCTATTGTACCGCTCCTGATTGATCTGACTCCAGGGCTGCGAGCGTCGATCACTATAAATCCCTCGTGCCTGTGCTTCATTCCCCTCTCCCAACTCGCCTGCTGCTGTGGTTGCTCGCTCTCACATTCTCTCCGTACATCCCCTGGATGCTCGGATACCAGTTTGTGATCTGCGGGCTGTCACATTCGCTTCTGGCCACTTGGCAGTGGAGGTATATGTCAACTACTTGAGCCTACACTGAGATGTATTCTTCTTCTTGGTTTGTTTTTTACTCGTGTTTTTGTAGATTTTTGAGGGGATCTAAAGCTGTAGTTGAGCGGTTGTGAAGGTAAAGGATTTTGTTTTTGCAGTCATCAGTAGTCTTAGAGGATCGCTTTGGTGAGAGAGGACTTTGAAACTGCGAACGGTGAGATCCTTGGTTGTTGATTGCTTCGACGGGGTGTTTTGAGCTCTTCTAAGACACCATTCCTTGGAAATGCTGTTCGCAAGCGTAGAGAGAGTGTTATTGCTTGCTGATGTTTTTCTTCACAAGTTCGTGCCTTCGGAACATTCGAATGCGAGTGTGATCAAGCCGACTATTTGTAATCATCGTTGTTTAGCTTGTAGAGAGAAGCTGAAGATTTCGGGACATTGACGACACATCCATCTATTGTAGTCCAGATTAAGCGGCGACGTACCGCATCCTTGTGTAATAGGGGTGTCGCTGAGAAATTCAGTCAAGTTTATTCATAATGAACTTGCCATGAGATTAAGCTTTGAGTCTTACCTATTCAGCATTTAAAGAAAGCCATATTCAAGCAGACCATCCACTGGCTCTCTGAACGCCCTCAGGATACCTGAGAAGACCTCGGTACTCGCGTTTTGAATAATATGCTCACATGGATACCAACCGAATGGTCCGGAGCAGATCATTTCATTTCGCAATTGACTGCATGCTTTGGGTTGGTGCCCCATGTGAACTGGCTGTGAATTTCCCAACTCTATGCCTTGCTAATGAAGGAGTTGGTGTTTTGTTAAAATGTTGCACTATTCATAATGGTTATCATTAAACCAGTGTGATGTGTCTGTCCTTCCACAGCTGCTGTAGTGAGGTAACCCTACATCACCATGGAACGCAGTCCTCTGTTAGGTGCGCTCATCTCAGAGAGCAACACTGATCTTGAGAGCAGTGAACACGCTCTCAAGATTAGTGATGTGGTTCCGGCATCTTCGCCCACACCTGGCCTGAGCAAGTCGAGGAAATATGCTTTACTCTTCGCTGCAGTGTGCATCATCGCAGTGCTAGCTTATCCCACAGCGACAACCAAATTTCTATCTGAGGTGAAAACAGGAGCCACCTTGCATCAAGGTGAACTACGGTGTGTAACTCATGCCCCAAGCTCAACCGGATTCGCAAATGGCACAATCCTACCCCAAGATGTGGCTGGCAACCTTCGACGCACATCCTTCCACTTCCAACCAGAGAAGAACTGGATGAACGATCCCAATGGTACGTTCCCAATCGCCTCCTATCCTACATCATTTCTTCTGTTTAGAGTACACGAATGCAGAATCATCCATTTATTCAAAGATGATCCCATTTTGGAATTTGGATTTATTTCTAGCCAAAATGATAAAGTAATCCGAACTCACGTGTTGCGTTTCGTGTCGTGTAGGACCCATGTATTACAGAGGATACTACCATTTTTTCTACCAGTACAACCCCAACGCTGCTGTGTGGGGTGGCATCGTCTGGGGCCACGCCGTCTCCACTGATTTAATCCACTGGCTCTACTTGGACATTGCTCTAGTTCCAGACCAGTGGTATGACATTCAAGGAGTGTGGTCGGGGTCTGTCACGGTGCGTGAAGATGGCGTCCCCATCATCTTATACACAGGTGCTCATCTAATAGAAGCAGTCACCTTATCTGATTCACTTCAAAATACTAGGATCATGAAGAAAGTCTAGAAATCCATATTTTATTGTTTGCTAACCACGGGCATGCGTTTTAAATGTGTTGAATTCCAGGTTCGTCGCTTTCGAACGAGCAGACGCAGAACATCGCTTATCCTCAAGACCCCTCTGACCCGCTTCTCCGCAAATGGGTGAAGGACCCTGAGAATCCCATACTGCGTCACCCTCACGGAATTTGCTCGGTCACTTGGGGATGGATTCTTACAGCGCAGCTCCGTCAGTGAAGTACGTAATGAAAGCCAGCTTGGACGATGACAGACACGATTACTATGCCCTCGGGTCTTACAACGTGAAGAGCAAGACTTTCCATGCTGACGACCCGTCACGCGACACTGGAATCGGTCTGCGTTACGATTACGGGAAGTTCTACGCCTCTAAGTCCTTCTTTGACCCTGCTCATCAAAGGAGGATTCTATGGGGTTGGGCTAATGAGTCGGACAGTGAAGCTGCTGACGTCGCCAAAGGCTGGTCCTCGGTTCAGGTATGTGTGTCTTGATTCATTCCAGTTTTTCTAGTCACATTCTGTGACATTCGTTGTCACCATTAAATTCTTGAATGTCTCTGCTGATTGTGTGGTCATGTGTGCGTGTGTGACAGGCAATTCCAAGGACAGTTCGACACGACACCAAAACGATGAGGAATTTAATTCAAGAGCCCGTAGAGGAAGTGAAGGAGCTACGCGGTGCTAGAGTCAGTCAGAGAGCTGTGAAGCTGGTACCCGGTTCAATTGTTGAAGTCCAAGGTGTCATTGGCGGGCAGTTGGACATTGAGGTGGTGTTTGAATATCCTAACGTCACAAAACTGACCCTGGACGGTGCCCAGATTGACGATGGAGACCACTTTGATTGCAGTCAAGGAGGAACTGCGCATCGTGGCACCTTCGGCCCTTTCGGACTACTCGTTTTGACCGACGAGAACCTCCACGAACGCACTGCAGTCTTCTTCTACATATCATATTCTAAAGAGGGCAAGTGGAGAACCAGATTCTGCAGCGATCAAACCAAGTACTCGCTCCTGATCTTCTAATCTCTGAGCTTTTAATTCTGCCTGGCAATGGTAATATAGTTATATTGTCCGTGTCCTATTAAATAGCAGTAATTGTTTCTTTGCAATCCTTTGCAGGTCATCTTTGATGTCTGATGTCGATACCACCGTCTACGGAAGCTTTGTGGAGGTTCTCCCCTCGGAAGACTCCCTCTCCCTGCGCGTCCTGGTCGACCGCTCCATTGTGGAGAGCTTCGTGCAAGGTGGCCGCATGGCAATCACCTCACGAGTATATCCCACCATGGCCACCGACATGAGTTCCCATCTTTACATGTTCAACAACGCCACCACTGCCATCAACGTCAGAAACCTCGATGCCTGGCAGATGCGGTCAGTGCGAATGAACGCCATCTGATTTATTTCTCAAGTATTTGTATATTAGAATCGACGACTGTATTTCTATGCTCTCGGTTATCACACAACCTTGTGTGCGCCAGCACCGAGGGAGGGGCTGGATTGCACCACGGGTGTTGCAGCAGGAAAACAAACCTCCTCGTGACAGGGTGATGCAGGAGGGAGGGGTAGTGAGGGTACGGCTGAGTGTCAGAAATCGAAAGAGGGCGTAGCTGGGTCGTAAGTTATTCATGGAAAACGCCTAGTAACATGTACACTATGATTTTTAAAGGTAATAAATCAAGTGGAGGTCTGAGAGTTGTGGTATTTCTCGTGTTTCCTTTTTGTGAATATTTATTTGTTTATTACAAACTTCCTGTACGATCCTCGTAAACCTCCTAAAATCCTGCAACTACTTTCGGTTCAGGCATGTTCATTACTCCAATCTTTCTACTATTCAATCAGACGATGTGCTCCAATATCAGGTCTCTTTCCACATACCAGCAGAATATTAAATCTATTACCGCAATACAAGTCTCAATGCTGGCGAACGTCAGTTAACTATAACCAATCCTTACGAAAGTCATCATTCATAGCACCACTGCGTATGGGTGAAAAGCTTCAAAAATTTCTGTAACTTTCCTAGGTCAATATCAAATTCACCTGAGATTATCCGGTGGCCGTATCGAGCAAGGTACCTGGTACTGGATGAACAGAGAATCCAAAAGGTTCCTCACACTATAACGTTTTAGTAAACCTTAAACCTTTAACCCTGTCTAATTGTTCATAAGTGATTTTGTGTTTTGTTTTTTAAAACCCCAAACCCTTATCCCTGCACTCCTGCAAATATTTTAGAGACTTCGAACAATTGGATAGCCGACACAAAATCTGAGGCAGCTACCCGACATCTATGTGTGTAGACACGCATGGATGACAGACGGATGAGTGCGAGCTGGGTGCCCCTTCAGCGAATTCGTTTTCCAGTGAACACTGTGCCGACCGTTATTAAGACGTGGGGGCGGTCGACTTTGAAGCCAAAGTGGTGCAATAGTCGAGCACATGATCCAATTCTTTCAAAGATGCTGAGACACCTAATGAAGAGTTGATCTTACCAATTGGTGGTCAGCTTTATGAGCAGATTCATACCAATCCTCGGCAGCGGTTTCAGCCATATTTAGGAATTAATGTACACACATTACACTTTGGTTGTCCTTGTGGTGCGGCCCTTGCACTACCTCCAAAATTAGCAGAGGCCGCTTTCTGATTCTTGGCTCGAAACATGCAAAGAGGTGGTCGTAGCACTCAGTTTTTTAATGTTATATAGTCCTCGATGAATTGGATGCAACATGAGCGGATGGGTTCTTGGTGTACGAGGTCGTTTGCGGTTGCAGGAATCGATGAGTCTGCTTTGCTGCATGTGGCGGCCGGTGTGCTACTAGATTCCTGAGCACTCTTTAGTAAGGAGTGTTGTGTTGCCTTGAGCAAAACTTTGTGTCGCTTCGCTCTTGTTTTGGAGGGCAATGACGATGAGCACGAATGTTCTATGTGTGGACATTCCAGGTATGTCTTGCGACACTGAGTATTCAATGAGGTGTAAAGTCTGAGCTCCGACACCATGCCCGCCGAACCCTCTGTTGGAGAAATGGCTCTTTAGCGGCTACGGGGCTAATCTCCATGGCAATGCGGAAGTGCCAGGCTCCCCATCGGTACCATCTGGAACGCCTAACAAGAGAACATATGTATATATACACTCAAGAGTTTGCTAGCGACTCTGTTGTGTTGAGGTGCTGTTTTATCCCGCGCTTATGTTTTCACGTGAGGTTAACTACTACACTGATGTTGAGTTACGAGATGACTACGAAAACAACACTCTGCGTATCGACGCCGAAAGATACTTACAGCGCCCATCATACCATTTCCGGCCCGAGAAGGATTGGATGAATGGTGTGTCCTCAACTACTTGCTTGCTGTCGAAGGTGATTAGTGCACCGATCACTAGTTCTTATGGTCTTCTGGTTTGTGTAAGACTTCCTAACAAATGTACTTATTATGCTTGTGCATTTATTCCAATCGACTGGAATTGATTTTCTTTGCTGGTAGCAGATCCTAATGGTATGTAGCATCTCGCTCAATCTAGCCATTCACAACATTTTCTCTGACTCCGATTGAAGTTGTGAATTTCTAGAACTATTCGGCTAGATGACTAACTGACAATTGGTGGCGATGCAGGACCCATGCTTCTACAATGGATTTTACCATTTCTTTTACCAGTACAACCCCCACGGTGCCGTATGGGGGAATATTGTTTGGGGCCACGCTGTCTCCAGAGACATGATCCACTGGCAGCACTTGGACATTGCCCTGATCCTAGATAAGTGGTATGACATTCAAGGAGTGTGGTCGGGATCCGTCACCATGCGTGAAGACGGAGTCCCTATCATTTTATACACAGGTCAGCACCTATCATCCAAACCCCAACTCATTCAAATTGTGACCAGTAGTTCGCCCCTCCTCTTCTTTTCCTTTCTCTTCAGTATCAATTTCCTTCAGTAATGTTGTTCATGATAATGCCTCCGATCTTCTGCTTTTAACAAAGCTGTAGCATGTGAATGTGCTGGGATATGCAGGTTCGTCGTATGCTTCCGAGCAGACACAGTGCATTGCCAACCCCGCAGACCCCTCAGACCCGCTTCTCCGCAAGTGGGTGAAGGATCACGAGAATCCCATCCTTAGGTTTTTGATGCATAAAACTTCTTGATTCTGTGATGCAGCGGAGAATTGTGTGGGATTGAGTGAATGAGTCGGATAGCCAAGCTGCGGACGTCAACAAGGGCTGGTCCTCAGTGCAGGCGATCCCTCGAGCAGTCTGGCTTGATAGAAATACTTTGAAAGGTCTAATTCAAGATCCGATTGAAGAGGTGAAGACATTACGTGGTAGTAAAGTGCAGCAGGGAACTGTGAAACTAGCACCTGGGGAGGTTTTAGGAATCCGAGGTGCTACAGGTAGACAGGTAAATGGCAAAGCAATTTTCTATATATTATTTCTTGAGGAATTTCTTGGTTTTCGTAATCTCCTCGTGAGCAGACTCTCGATGGAATCGACGTAGACGAGTGTATTCATGAATGCTGATAACATACTTTGGTGTGTGCCTTAAACAGTTGGATATAGAGGTGGTTTTCGAATATCCCGACGTCACTCACACGATAAATAGCGGTACGTTTAATCTTGACAGAGACCTCGTCAATTGCAATCAAGGAGGTGCTGCACATCGTGGTCTCTTTGGACCATTCGGGTTGCTCGTGTTGGCTGATGAAAACCTTCGAGAACAAACTGCAATTTTCTTTTATATCTCTTATTCGAGGGACCAAGGAAAAAGGGCAACCTCATTTTGCAGTGATCAATCAAGGTACAACCTTTCCCAATTCCTGCACCGTTTTCATTTTTGCCCAGTTACAGACTAGCAGAATTCTGGGCAATGCCTCAATACATCTCTCTGGTTATTTGCAGGTCATCCTTGTTGAGTGATGTCGCCACTACTGTTTACGGGAGTTTTGTGGAGATACTCCCTTCCGAGGACTCCCTCTCCCTCCGAGTACTGGTAAGCTTTTTGATGCCCTAAACTCCTGTTCATCACATCATTCAATGCTCTTTACTATTCACTTGTTACTGCCTTCAACTTGCCGCGTAAGTTTATTTTAAAGATTATTGGAAAGATCAAAAACAATTACATATATATATATATATATATATATATATACATATACATACATATATGCAGGGAATTGTTAAATTGATCCAAATGTTTTCTAAATTTATTCACCTGTCCTAACATCAACAAGAAATTCTCCACTGCCAGATCCGCATTGGTCAAAAACCAATGAAAAAGTGGTTGGATCCTAAATACTTGGGCCACTTTAACAATTCCCTATATTTATATTTATGGGTCTATGATTTTTTGAATAATGTTCAAAACGTTCATAAAATCCAAACATAAGGAAAATTCATTGTGCAGGGGAGGGCCAAAATAGCTCCTCTCCCGCACAATAAGATGGACCCAATTAGAGCTTGCAGTAAAGAATTATCATAAACGCGTTGATGGATTTTTGTCTCTTGCAGGTTGATAAATCCATTGTCGAGAGCTTTGTCCAAGGTGGTCGAATGGTAATTACATCGAGAGTTTATCCTATCATAGCCATGAACAAGACATCACACCTATATTTTTTAAACAATGCCACCACGTCCATCAATGTTAGAAGTATTGATGTATGGCAAATGCATCCGGCCGCCTACGGCACACTCCAGTGCCATAGGTGCAGCGCTGCAATTCGTTAACAACCAGATTCATTAATCTATTCGTCGTTTGTGTTTAAACAGTTTACTTTAGTGCATACACCAACTGATACTGACAGCTATTGGACATTCTTCAATGATGGATAAGGAGACTATTTCCGTTGCTAAGTGCAATAAAACTTCTGTGTTGATTTAAACAAAACACGATAGTCAATTATCAATTTAATTGACTGACTGTTACCCTGTCAACGAAGAGAATTATAACTCAATTCAATAAAAAAAATGTTTTAATTTTCACAACCAACGAAATGTAAAACAATTTATCTCAAAAACATTCACTTTCCAGTGCAAAAGTGATGTAACATCCGCCATTTGAATGTTCTATATTGCAATTCGCTCTAAAACAAGTCAGCTGAAACACCCCTACAATCAATAAAGGCTACTAGTGGAAACCCAGAGTACACGAAACAAAGTGGATGAAAAATGAAAACTAGCGTTGATGTTCAATCAAATCAGCTAATATTAGATGCGCAACAGTCCATTCTACCCTACAAATGTACCCTTCATGCACCATTGCAGTATGAGTCCCTTTTCTTTTCAAAAGTGCCTCTGGTGAGAAAAAAACTACTGTGCACACAAACACTCAAACTAAAGATAAAACATGGAGAAATTTTCATGCGCAGCACCCTAGTATCTTCTCTTCAGTCCTTCATAATTGCCCTGAACGTGTGCGCTACAAAATAAGTAGTGCCTTCGTCGGGGATAGTATAAAGAATGAACACGGTTCCAGAATCTGCTCAACTAGTGAAAAGAAAGTTGAAATCAAGGCTGCCTGATATGGCATAGAACAAAATAGGTCTAAGCCTGGACACTACAACATTCTAAGAGATAAGTGTGCAAAAAGAGGTTAGACAGGTGATCCTATAATGCACTGGAATATCACAAGAACTTGGGTGCACTCTCCCTACTTGAATGAATGAGCAATAACTTTCAGAAGTTAGAAGACTAATCCACAACCTTACTTGCTACAGGTGACCAGGGCACCTATCCCCCCCAAAGTCGCACCAAATTCTTTCCTAAACACGCTCCTATAAAGCATCTCAACTTTTTATTAGTTGGGCCGGAGTACGAAACAATCTTCAGGCGCCGCTTGCATACAAACGAGTCCACTCCCTCGCTGTTCCAATAACATTAGTATGAGCAAGGAAGTGAGCTCAAATCGCAAATATGAAGTAAGATGGAGAAAACATGGAGAAACACAACCTAAACAAAACGCTGCAATGAAAAGAGTACACATGTTGCAGAGACAATATCAACGTCCAAAAAATGATTGGCTACATCCATTCGTTCAATAACCGTGGATATAATATCAATAACAAAAATTTGCGTCATAGTAGATTATCTAGTGTCTGCTTGGCAACTTCCTCTCCACTTATACCAATCCAAGAAACATGCGATAAAATGAATTAAAATAACCAGTTCTGCACACACGACATAATCAATATTAAGACCTATGTAAATGGGCTTGGAAAAAAACTCACCAGTCTCCACAGCCTCCTGTTCGTTTGTCTTCCAGTGTTTAGCGATATTTTCAGCCAGAGGATCATCTGGGTTAGGTGCACTTAGCAAAGCCTGAATGCTGGCAACCCCCACCAGAAGAATACAATGTCATTACAGTGCTGTATACAGGTAAAAAATGAACTCGAACCTATCTACAGTTCTATTAACCCGTGTTCGTCACAATCCTCGAGCACTGTCAACTCTACCAATACAAAAGATCAATCTGTGACAATCACCTTGGTGAATTTGAAAACAAATACATAATATGTGACGTCACTTCACTTGACAGAATTGAAAAGCATAAGTACTTACTAAGAAAGAGAACTCAAAACTATGTAAAGCTGGCATGAACTAAACACTAACCTGAGAAGAACCGTGCGGATCTGAAGAGCTGGACTCCATTTATCTTTGAGGATATCCAAGCAGATCCGTCCCAACTGAAAAATGAAGTGTTAAACAAATTATAAGAAAATCTCAGATTTCCATTCAGATAAATAATGACAATGATTGGTGAACATGTATTTCTAAAATCCAAATGTTAGGCATTGAATGATACTCAGTCCACACAAGAGCCAACAAAACAGTAAAATAAATCGAAAGTCTTACCTTATCAATGTTTGGGTGATATATCTTCGTCAAGAACCGAACCTGACAACATTTCCCACGATAAATGTATGAAATCAGAACAGACAGCATGACATCCAAAGAAGACAAGACCTGATGAAAACGCTTAACCTCGAAGTGAGCACTCAAAATGCAAGCGACTGACAGTATGTCAAACCGCCCTCAACACACATCATGACACATGACCTTCCAGATTCTGAAAAATGATGCAATTCTCGCCATTTTTTGCACACCAAAGCTATAGTGCTACGGAAACGTAATTATGATAAAGTCTCAAAACATAAGAAAATTACTCCGATCCGACATTGAGAACCAATTGTTGTGATGTCTGACCTTGGGTGCAGCCATTGGATACTCCTCTGGCAAAAACAATTCAAGCTTAAACACTCCACCTGAATGTATAAGCCAATTCACAGCATTAACTCACATAACAGAAGACGCTCAATTTATAAACTATCGTAACGACCATAAAGAAGTCAATTGGGTGTGTGAGAGCATCACACCAATATCCTAAAAGAGCTGCAAATCATCATTTCGTGAACCATCATAGCATTCCTCGTTTCTCACCAATTAAAATTAGGTCTCTAAACAACAGATACAAATCACCACTGTAAAGTAGGCAAGCAAGGTAATCCTAATGCACGCTAGTACCTTCATATGGAGATTGTGATGGGCCCAGAATCATCACATTGAAATACCGCAAATTCTCTTCCGACGGTGACGCACTGATTCCCGGAGCTAGTGTGTCATGATGCACCATCATAACGGTTAAAATCCGCCGGAAATACCGACGTAAAATATTGGCCTAATTTTTCAATCCCCACTTCTGAAAAACACATTTCGTGCTCAAAGGTATTTCTGAACAATTAAAAGCATGCAAGCTCCCCGTAAAATCATTAAACTCTGACCACTGAACTTTGCAACTGGGCTTTAAGTGACGGCAACATCGCCACAGAACGTATTATAACATTTTACACCCCACAACCACCACCACCACCTCCACCCAAAGGAAAGTACGTACATACCTGGCTCACTAAGTAATCGTTGGGTTTCCTGCACAAAATCAACCCAACCGCACCTCCCTCACGTCAATCCCGACATCAAGCAAATTTTCCACAAATCTAAATCCTCCGCACCATCACAACTACACGTAACACAATAAAACCCACGATGCCCCGCTTCCACACTGCATTGTAATTCACCCTTAACCTTCCTCGAAAGCACCCAGCTCACAAACTCCCCCAGAAACCAAATATAACCTCCATCCGATTCTACGGGAAGATCAACTTCTCGCTCTTAGCTCCACCACATAAGAGATCGACAGCCACTTCGAATTCTCCCAAAAAAGGAGAACACTCGATATCAACAGTTCTCGCAACTACCACGAGGTTGGTGCACAAAGTACAAGAGAAACCCAGATCCACGATCCAATTCCGAACGCACAAAAATTTCAGGCGCACCCAAAGACGGGCACGACACGACAGGGAAAGCAAAGCAAAAGCGGCAGTCATCTGCACTTACCTTGATGATCCGCCTGGGCAAGTTGGTGTTGGCGGTAGCGGCAGACATGTTGAGTGCGACAAATGGAGTGCCTGGCCCACGCAACCCCCTGTAAATCGGAATGTCCTGCGGGAGGAAGACGAGGGACGGGGTGGAATCGAGGAGGGAGGGGGAGGGGATAGCGAGCGAGGAGGAATTTCAGCAGAAGCAGCAGCAACGTGGAAGGGCGAGGGCGGAATGGAATGGAATTGAGGGAGGGGAGGGGAGGAGGGAGCTTGGGGATGGGGGCGGGATTACAATTAGGGCATGGAGGGGAGGGGCAAGGAGGAGGAAGAAGAGGAAGAAGAAGAAGAAGAAGAAGAAGGGTCCTACTAAACTACGAATTCGAGGAAGAGCAGGAGAGAGAGCGAGAGAGAAAGCAAAGGGAGAGAGCCAGAAGAGAAAGTTCGATACAGACAGACAGACAGAGAAAAAAAGAGAAAGAGAGACAGAGAAAGAGAGAAAGGTGGAGAGAGCGAGGGACACGGGGACAGCGACACCAAGAAGAAGACCAGGGCAGGATGGGACCAGGGCAGGATGCCCAAGGGGTGGGCAGGGAGGGAACCAATCAACCAGCCGTGTGAGAGAGCAGAAGAGCGCTGGAGAAAGAGAGAGAGCAGGAGGAGAGTCAAAGGGAGAGAGCTGGAACTAGAGAGCAAAAGAGAGTAGGAAAGCATTGGAGAAAGGGAGACAAAGAGAGAGACAAGACACAATAATGCATAAGTGAGAAAGAAAGAACAAAAGAATGTAGGAAAGAATAGGAGAAAGCAACACACCGAGAGAGTGAGAGAGAGAGAGAACACAAGAATGCATGAAAGTACAAAAGAATAGGAGAAAGCAAGACAAAGAGAGAAGAAGAGAAACAAAGAAAATAAGAGAGCATAAGAATATATGAGTGAGAGAAAAAAATCAAAATAAGTACAAAAGAATTAAGTAAAGAAGACAAAAAGAGAGAGAGAGAGAGAGGAAGAGAAAGCACAAGAATGTATAAGAGAGAGAAAGAGAACAAAAAGAAGTAGGATAGAATAGGAAAAAGAAATATAGAAAAAGAGAGAAAAAAAGTGCATAAGAATGCATGAAAAAAGAAGAAAGAGCAAAAAATACATAAAAGATAGAGAATAAACAAAAGAAAGTACAATAGAATAAGAAAAAACAAAGAGAAAGAGAGAGAGAGAGAGAGAGAGAGAGAGAGAGAATACAAGCATGCATGAGAGAGAGAAAAAACAAAAAAAAGTAGAAAAGAATAGAAGAAAGCAATAAAAAGATAGAAAAAATGAAAGAATACAAGAATGTAGGAAAAAATAGGAGTGATGTCAAAAAGATAGTAAAACTAAAAATTACTAATATTTTATTTTACAAAATAGACTTCTATTTACTTAGTAGGACCATAAATAAGGCAAAACAAAGTAAATTAGAAAATTAAATGATATAAACATGTATAGGAGGGAATTAAGAGTAGATTTTAGTAAAATTTACTTCAAGAAGCCAAAAATTGATACCCCCAAGAAGATCAGTTGTCAACCTAGGTCAAAATAAGATTCCAAGGCACAAAATTGCACATCTATGGCAACTCTAGGGTTCTTTTGGACATTGGAGAGTGAAATTTGATAAAAAACTTGATAAAATTTTTATAAGCATTGATTTTGTATGATTTGGATTTTTAATGACTTAATAAGAACATTATAAAATTAAGATTGTTTTGGATGACTCATGTTTTTGTGAAATAAAAGAGAATTGATATTTTGGATAATTTCAAGAGTTTTGTAGTAGATCTATAAGTAAAATTTTGCAAATCAATGGTTATAATTGTGTTTAATACGTAATGAAATTTTTTACTTGATCTAATGATTGAATTAAAGATTATTGAGATTTAAATGGATCAGGGTCTTGAAAAGTAGAATTTTAGGTCTAATGAGGGTTTCTAAAATTTCTTACAATCTACTAGTTGGATTGAAGTAAAAATTATGTATGTAGTTAATAGACTTCTTTTTCTATATATAAGAGAAATTAGAAATCAACTTAATGGTGCAAACAAGAGATATTAGTATTAGAAGATCAGCATCAAGGTTGGAAAAGGAGGCCAGCTAACATCTAAGTAGTTTTAGGATTTTTCTTCTATTTGGTAAGTGTAATTGTCCTTAAATTTGTTATACTTGTTTGTAACTAAGAGATTGAGAGGTGTGTAAAATTTTAAATAAGATCAATGGTTTAATCAAAAGATATTGAGGTTCTAAACTACTTTAGAATTTAGGATTTAGTTAAGGTTTGGTTTAGGATTTAGAGTTTAGTTAGGATTTGGTTTATGATTTAGGATTTGGTTAAGATTTGGTTTAGGATTTTTTTAGGATTCAATTTAGGATTTGATTAGGATTTGGTTTAGGATTTAGGATTTGGTTAGGATTTGGTTCGAAATTCAAGGTTTGTTTAGGGTTTGATTAAGATCTATTAGGATTTCAACTAGGAATAAATTAAAACTTAGTTGAGATTTATTTAAGATATATTGTGATTATTTCAATATTTTTTTGGAGCCTCTTAAGGAGTGTTTTAAGGTTTATTGTAGATTATCTTTCAACTTCTTTATGATTTTTTATTGTTTCTTTTGTAATTTCTTTAAGGTTTCTTTTTGAATTTGATTAAATCTTGTTTAACATTGTTAAGATTTAATTAGATTTTATTTAGTATTTGTAGAATAGATAAATAAACTTTATAATAAGTTACTAGTTGGTTATTGACAAGCTTGAGAATTAGACTGATGGTAAGGCATTTTAGTTAATAACAATAGGTTGTTAGTGGAACAAATGATTAAGAATTCAATGGATCATAACTTTTGGAATCCGCTGGCCGACGGACCACCTTTTTGGTAGGATATATAGGTTGAGGAAAGAGAGATCGAAGCCAGACTGTGAGAGTCGTAAGCCGAGGTAAGCTTAGTGCTACCTCTTTGTTTTCTTTGCTTTTACTATTTACTTATGAAGAATTATGATTGAGAGAAATATTGTTGAATTGATAGTCGTAGAATGGATTATGTGTTGAATCAAGACGGAAGTAGTAAGCCTTGGTATTTTGTAGTTTGATAATTGATTTCAGATAGCTAGAGTATAGTCAATTGTGACACTAACAGACCCAATTCATATAAATAGTCTTTCTCCGTGTTCGAACCCACCTCTATTAGTTCAATTGCTTTGATATATCGAAGCTTGAACGCAATAAGAACAATATTTTGGCATCGCTGCCGGGGAAATCATAACAATATGAAATATTAGAAATTGATTGAATGAGAACAATGAAAGATCATAAGTGATAATCATGAAGGAGAGGATTATCAAAGAATTAATTGATAAGCAAAAAAAAGACAAGAGTAATTATTCATAAGAAATATCCTACTGGAACAACAAAAAAGAATTGTAGATCCAAGTAAAACCAAAGGAAGAAAAATTCAAATTCAAATAGCAAGGAGACCAATGATAATACCAATGGCTGTGGGAGTGCCAAAAGTACCAATTGCAGTACAAATGGGAGCAGTATGAGACCGAACTACAAGTGTGGCACCATTACTTACTTTTAGTGGTTGGTCGGGCTCTAATCTCGATCACCATATATCTCAATTCTTGACAGCCTGTGTGGCTAATAATGATAGAATTGAAGACATTTGATTGAGATGGTTGCCAACAACTTTAAAAGATACAACTTTTGAATTGTATATTCGACAACCAGTGGATAGATTTTCCAATTAAGAGGCCTTGAGGAATGCCTTCGTAATCCATTTTAGACCAATTGGATTTGAAGATTGACTTCAAGAAAGTTTTATGAATAGCAAGATATTTGCGAAAGAATCCATAGAGTCCTATTATGGTCGGATTGTGGATATACTTTGTAAATGGTCAAATAATCAAATGCCAAATGCATTTATATTGTCGATATTAATCAATGGTTTGCATCCACCAGAATTAAAAATATTTGTAAAAGAGGCTCAACTAGTTATGGTAGAGGCATCATTGGCACGAGCAAAGGTGTAGGAAGAATGTCATTATGACCAATTATTAATAGTAGGGGCCATGATGATTCCAAGTTCAGGAAGCCAACAAATACAACCAGGAAATATGTGGATGGGTAATTATCCGCAAATGGTTGCCTCCAATGTAAAGTATGTTATGTTGCAAAAATCAATTAATGCTACACTACTCCAAGCAATAGCGCCAATAACAATGACACCTTATATTACACCGCCAACCTTTCAACAACCAAAGTTGTTCACAAATGCAATTATTAAAGATCCAAATGAAGCCTTGTTATTAAATCTAACAAAGAAGATGGAAGAATTGGCCGTGAATTTAGTTAAAGATAAAGAAAAATGACATAAGACTTCTAATACGAGACCTAATCTATAGTGTAATAATTGTAAGGGACAAGGTCATTTTGATACGGAATGTCCATTACCCAAAAAAATAGGTGTTCAATGTACATTTTATGGAGGAAAGTATCCTATCCCAAATTGTTGGCATTTACAAAGGCAACAATTCAGTAATCAGACCATGATCCCATCGACTAAGTGGGAAGTCAATCAAGTTCAAACGAGAAATATGTATGGATGGAATGGAAATCGATCTAATCAACAAAATCGAACATTCAATAATTTTCCAAATTCCAATTTTAATCTAAGATCTACATCAAACCCCTAGAACTACTGGAAGGAGCAGCAGAGGTATCAAGAATATAGCCCATCGATGTCATCGAACCAAGTACCCTCCGTACAAATGAGACAATTAGGATTATTTTCTAATCCTATATGGAACAAGCATAGTAGGTATATATCGGTGGAGACACCCAATATGCCAAATAGGGGTGCAAGAAGACCACTTTGTTGTTTTCGTTGCACACAAATTGGTCATTATGTCAGTGAATGTCCCAATCCCACAACTAGTGACGATTATGCACCAATGTATGTAAATTGCAAGCAGTCGAGACATACTTATCAGTAATGTAATGCTCCGTTCAATTTCAATAATCGAGATCAGCAGATCCAAAGCCAAGAAAAAATAGAGGAGATAAATCAAGGTCCTCAAGATTCACTAGTTCATCGGGTAGAAGTAGTCCAAGCTGTCCTTACAAGAAGTCAACAAAAGGAGAAAGGACCAATTCAACATTTGGTTGATCCTGAAGTAAAGGGCCAATTGGACCCAATTACGAGGACATTCAATCTAGGTCCTAATATGGATCTTTTACTCAGTATAAGACCTGAATCAGTTGTGCATCCTAATAAGGTACCGATTATGAAGGCTTCGGTTTTGTCTCGAGCTGTTTTGTTTTCTACACAGTTTCAAAAAATGTCCTTTTCATTGAAAGATCTTCTAAGAGGCATGAATTCCAAAGAACCAATATCAGTCCAATTGGGAGAATAATCTTACTCGTTGAAAGAACCGATTTTACAAACTCAATCAAATTTAGTTCTAGTAGCTTTATTAATTTCTAATATAGAGAAAATCAATTTATTTGCGTCAGTGTCTAGGACTAGGAAGAAGAAACGGACATTGAAAATTACCACTAATACAGAACCATATAATATTTTAAAAAATTTGGGCACCATACAGCCCACAATCTCTATGAAGCAACTATTGGCGGTAGCACCTCAGTGCTGAACTATCTTGAATTTTT